AAAAATAAACCTATAATTTTATAAATTTAAGCCAATGTTGGAAACACATATTGCACGTACAGGGGCCGATAGAAGAAGACTTTCTCCATGGTACCTGTTGATTAAAAAAATTATCATTATTGTGTTATCGGCTAGGTTAGTGTTTAAGATTACCTTTGTTTAGAACATGTGCTGGAACTACAAAAGGCTACTAAATCCGAGCCATACAATTATTGAGCAATAAAAACAAATGTTATATCGTAGTAAATACTAATATTAAATAATAATAAGATAAATATCGATCAATAATTTAGTTTGCCCTACAAAATCCATATCATTAATTTATATCGAACGTGTCTAACTCTAGACACAGATGTTTCTATTCTTCTCAAGGCATTTTTAATACTTGACTGTGAGGTCATTGACCGAAGCACTTGCTGATTTATGGGCACTCCCTGAGCCTAGAAGCCTTTAAAGGTTGTGGACGCTTTTTTCCAGTTTTAATACAAGTTTTAAACTAAATTCCTAAGTTCTTAACTGTAATGTACCCGATTTTTACCTGACGAAATTGATTTTGTATGTATTTTGATATTTTCGCCGTTTGTACATTTTGCTGTCGTTTTACCTACTATGGATAAGTGCAAGTTTTTATATCTTCAATTTTTCGCTTTTACCATTTGCTCTATGATTATTTATGTGAACAGTGAACTTAACAGTGCTGATCATCCGGTAACTACAGTTTCTAAATCTCTTTTTGTATCAAACTGCGACATCAGTATTTTGTACTTTGATAATTCCATCGATACCACGTCACACCTGTTCTATGACGTCTCCGTTAAACCAAATCATTCGGAGCCACCTGGAAGTGGCACTAAAGACAATTATATATTTTACATTATTGCGGTATCACGACGCAATGTTATATCTACTCAACCCCCATATATGGGGGGTGACTCCACTCTGAATTGTGATCCTATCTGTGAGTTTATTTTTTACAAGTGTCATCTTGCTTCGTTTAAAGACCTATTAAACCATATGGGCGACAGTTTGTATTTGCTCTGGATTATTTTGTAATCCGAAGAGACAGATCTACCAAGAAAGAAGGTGGTGTGCTTGCAGCTATAAAGACTGAACTGAATCCAATTCATTGTCATGAACTCGAGTCTACGCCTCATGAAATTATATGTTTTTCTATTTCAGTTGGTAATTGTAAAATGCTCTTTGCCGTTTGTTATTGTCCACCTAATTCCCCTGTATCATTTTGGAATGATTTTAGTAATAATTTTCTTGTTTTTTTACGATAGTATATATATCGTTGGAGACTTTAATTTAAATTGGAATCATGCAAATATTATACCCAATAATTTTATCGACGCAATCAATGCACTTGATTGTTCACAGGTTGTTAATGAAATCACCAGGCCTAACCCCCATGATCCCTCAACTGGTACAATAGTTGATCTTCTATTTTTCTAATAGACCTGAACGTTTATGCTCTCTTAATGTCACTGATAACCCAGTTGTGAGTGATCACCTTGCAATCTCCTTCAATATTTTAATCTCCGTTAAGCGTTCAAAATCTCTAATCCGTAATTTTTTAGCTTATCACAAAACTGATATCGACCATCTTAATCAACTTATTCACCTTGCCCCATGGAGTGTCTTCATGGATGAAAACTCAGTTGATAATTCATGGGACGGAATTTTAGACATCCTCTCTGCAATTATTCGCGACTCTGTTCCATTGAAATCCAGTAAAAAGAGGAAACATTCTCCTTGGGTTACCAGTGACATCAGAAAATGCATTAATAAAAAACATAGATTGTTTAGAAAGGCTAAGCGCATTGGCTCAATAGCTGCTTGGAATGAATACAAATCTATCCGTAACATAGTTAAACGAATGTGTAATAAGTCGTATTACTCTTATGTTAACAAACTTTTTACCAGCGATTACACGCGTAAAGCTTTTTGGCGCTTTATTAGAGAGCGTAAACGCTCACCTGTCCACCTGTCCCCCTGTCCTTTAACATTAATGGCTCACACGTATCTTCACCCTCTGTCATCGCTAACTCTTTTAATGATTTTTTTGTTTCTGTCTTTGGTCCTCCTACTCCCCCTTGTGTCGATCCTCCTGCATGTAACGTTCCCATTCCGAACTCTCTCATATTAACTTTGATGTTCACACTGTCGAAAATGTCATTAGTGGCTTATCATCAAATAAATCACCTGGTCCTGACTCTGTCCATCCATTCATATTAAAGTCCGCTTCAGAATTTATTGCCCCTCCCTTATTTAACTTATTTAACATGTCACTTACGAAGGGTAAAATCCCTACTGCCTGGAAGGTTTCTCACATTACTCCCATATATAAATCCGGCGACAAGTCCTCTATTTGCAACTACAGACCAATTTCTCTTACGCTTCTTTGTTCCAAAATTCTTGAAAAAATAATTTTACTGGTATATCCAATCACGTTGCTTATTGCTGTCCAATCAGCGATTCTCAACATGGATTTTTCTCTTCCCGGTCCTGTGTTACCCAACTTACAAACTTGATACATTCCTGAGCATCTTCCCTCGATAAGCCTAAGCCTCCTCGAATTCATGTTGTTTTTTTGGACTATGCTAAAGCGTTTGATACACTTTCCCACCACATTGTGTTAAATAAACTAGTTACTCATTTTAACATTAGAGGTAATGTATGGAAATGGATCAAGTCTTTTCTTTTAGGTCGTTCCCAACGAGTCCTGTACCAAGGTGCCACTAGTCAATCTTCCCCTGTTTCTTCTGGAATCCCCCAAGGAAGCGTTCTCGGTCCTCTTATCTTCAATTTTTTCATTAATGATCTTCCTACTTTTCTCCTCTCCCATTGCGCTTTGTTTGCTGACGATACCATTATTTACAAAAATATTTTCTCTGTTGACGACAAACTTGCTTTTCAGTCCGATTTAAATCGTCTCACTTCCTGGTGTGATTTAAACGAAATGGAACTTAATCTAAATAAAACTAAAATTCTTCACATTACTCGTTCAAAAAAATAATATCGACCAGTTTATCATCTAGCTGGTTCACCTATACATGCTGTGTTGAATCATTGTCATCTTGGGGTTACAATTAACTATAAACTTACTTGGGACGACCACGTTATCAAAATTATTTCTCGTTCGAACAGAATGCTGGGTTTCATTGCCAGCACTGCTGGTGGCTCCTCTCCTTCTGCCATTTTCTCACTTTACAAAGCTCTTGTTGTTCCTATACTTGAATACGGTGTCCCTTCCTGGTTGCCTCATACTAAAATACTTGTAGACCGTATTGAGGCAGTTCAGCGAAGGGCTACTAGACTTGTCCTTAAGCAGAAAAAAAGGCGAATGTGAGTACGAAGATCGTCTCATTAAACTCAACTGGCCTAGTTATCTGCTCCCAGAAATTTTCTTCTGTTATCGTTTGTCTGTAAGTCGCTTACTGGCGTTGTTGATTGTAGTAGCATCCGTCAGTTCACACTTGTAAATAGTCGCCATCGAGAGACGCTTTTGTTTAGACACCTTTATGCTCGAACTAACTCTCTTCACCTTTCTGCCATTCATCTGTTTCCCAGACTTTGGGAAAAACTCCCTGAAAATATAAAAAATTCCCTGATCCTTGATTCCTTTCTTACTTTTTTTGCGCTCGCTTAAATCGCTTGTCTTATGTTATAGCCACTCCGCTTAGCTACTTTTGCGCCGCGAAAACTGTTTGATCTTTATTGTTTTAATTATTCGATTTCTTGACGTAAGAGTTTATTTATATGTATAAATCTATTGTTCTGTTTTGCTACTCAGGGAGTATGGAATCTTAACTTTGTTACAGTGATATAGTTCACTTTTTGGTTCCTGCCTACTCCCTGAGTTGACTCTATGTGTTTGTTGTTGTTGTGTTTCTGGCAATAAAGAATAAGAATAAGAATATATATATATATATATAATCAAAGAAAGGTAAATACAGTGTTCGAATAAAGGACATAATAATACATCAATACATAGCTCTCAATGAATGTAGTCCTGTAAATAAATGAATAAAGAAATTGTGCAATAAAATGCCGCTGGCGGGAGTCGAACCTGCGACCTCTCGCTGTCAAGGCGAGCGTCATAACCATTAGACCACGGAGGCTTCATGGTTGAACAGATTCAAATACCACCAGATACACTCCATTACACAATAAGTACGACTAGAAACAAATAGTTGCGTATAATATAAATCAAGATAGTCGTTAACACTGTTAAATTATATAATATAAATCATCATTGTGGCATTAACTGCTCTACTATAACCCCACCCCACCCTCTCCCATCCAGCAAACATGATCCACCATTTGTAGAGCTTGTTTATTAAATAAACTAAAAAGAACAGTAGAAACGATTCTGTGTTTTAAAATTGTCCAACTGCACCAGCCCTGGCCTACCTATTCTGTGCACCTAGGCCTGCCTTATAGGCCTGGCCCCTGGCCTAACTAGGCCCCTGGCCTATAAGCAATATAAGAAATTTTGTTACATTTACTCGCAGTTTAAAGCCTTGTATTAGGTAACCTTGTCTCGGTGTTGCGCTTAACTGTTTCGCCTACATGTTTTGACCTAGCTTTTATTTAATTTTTATTTATCTCTTTATCTATTTATTTTTTTTAATTTAATCTGCGTGTAGTATAATAATGTAAACATACAGCTTCCTTTTTGAATTTGGCTGAGTAGAAATATGGGCCTAGCTGGAGGGCATGTCTGTACGATCGTTGTCACGACTATTTCTTTTCAGTTTTTTTTTTGACCATTATTTATTTTTTTATTGAACATATTTTATGGAGTAAAAAGGGTGTAACAACCTGTTTTACACATAGTCCTGGTTTTTTTTTTTTAATCCTAAAACACAGATTACATTGACTTTTGGTAAGTTACATCAAATACTGTAGTAAAATAATACAAGTCAGTAGGAAAAAAGAAGATTAGTAAAATTGTTTTAAGAAAAATAAACAGCTCAGTCATCCCATTGGTAAAATTTATAAAAGTAGGCCTGTAAAATTAAGGGTATTTTAAAAGTGATATGTTAATTCTATAATTTTTTAATAACAAATGAGGGACATTAAAAAAATATCTAAAATGGTATAAAAAGAGAAGGCATAAACATACATAAGAATACTGAACAACAAATACAATACGGGGAATACTTGCTACTGCTAAAAACATGTGAATAATCAATAATCCATAGAAAACTTAATCTTATACTGTAATAATCAAATGAGATATTTAATACACTATACGTTTATATTTTAGGTGTTGACTATTGCATTTCCAGTCCATGTGAAAATGAAGGGAATTGTATACCTCCTTATTCGGAGTTTACATGTGAATGTAAACCAGGCTACAGTGGGAGATATTGTGAAAATGTGTATTCCGGTGAGTACCGTAAATGACACAAAATTTAGCTACTGCTTTTCATCGTATCGAATAAAAGCTACTGTAGGCCTAATCGTGATAGAGTTTTGTAAAACACATTTTGATTTACCTAGGAACGTCTCATAACGTGTAAAACTAAAGTCACATGTTACTAATTCCATAACATGAATCTTAAGTTCATGCCTCACTTCCAACTGCCAAAGGCGCTGTTTTCCTTGTCTTTGGATGCAGACTCGACCATACACAACGTGCAACCTTTTCCGCTCCCTGTTGAGTATTCAGGGGCAGCGCCAGAAATTCCCCGACGAGGGGTCCAAGCTCCCGACTAGAAGGGATCCACACCCCTCCCCATTCTGAGAAAAAATTAAATTGTTTGTTTTATTTAAAAATGTTGTGCTAATTATAGGATTATTTATTTAAAAAGGATAATTTAACCATGCGAGTTAAGTTTCCCACATTTACCTGCCTTGACAGCGTAGTACGGCGTGCTTGAATTACGACCTTGCTGAAAATTCCCCGACATCCTCAGGGGAGTCCAAGGGGGACCCAGAGGGTCCCTGACGGGAGTTCTTTTTTCCTTTGGAACCCCCCCCCCCACTAGCGCCACCCCTGGGAGTATTACTAGTTATGCGTGTTAATGACTACTACTATTTATTCCGAATCATCCACGTCTTACAAGCTGAGAGGCAGATAAAGTGTCTTGCCCAAGGACACAAACATTGTAATGAGCATCGGTCTCAAACCCCCCAACCACATGTTAACATTGACAAGAAAACATTATAAAAACAACACAGAGAATGGGTAAGACATAAAAGGAACAAGTTTTGGTTTCCCCCACCCACTTTTTCAACTAAGGGCCTGCCCCCTCCCACTTTTGTGACTGTTCCCAGCACCAACCAGTAACTTACAAACGCTGCAATGTCATTATTATTATTATTATTATTATTATTATTATTATTATTATTATTATTATTATTATTATTATTATTATTATTATTTGCGCCTTACAAATCGACCTATTGTTATTATACAATATATATTTTTTTAAATTTCCAAACGGACATTACAAGTTCCCACCTTAAGTTGAGCAACCAGATGTTGATTCACGTCTGTATGTGCTTGCGTCTGTAAAGTTTTCGAGCATGAAGAAAAATGAATGGAATCGCCCGCCTTGCGCGACTAGGCAAGAGGTAGGAATTCTTTATGAAGCGACGCTCTAGTTCTCTTAATGCTAACCTTGATGATGTAAGTGAACCATGCAGATGTAAGTGTAACTGATTGGCCCTCTCCTCCACAAAAATCTAATAATAATATCTATGAAAAATCACAAGTACAAGTTTAATTTGGTAGGTTACATGGCCATAATAGTAGTTCAACTGACACCGGATTTTGGGAAATGGTATCTCAAGTCCCTAATTATTTTCAGTAAAATAGGTAGCGCAAGTGTCTCATATCTTAAAAAATAACTACAGAATTTATGGTACACTGTAGTTAATGTGTTATAGGTTGTAAAATTTGTATTGAATAAAATAAAAACTTCCAAATAAAAAAGGTTTCACTAAACATTAGGAATTAGTCATTTGTGAAACAAAATTATAGCCTCTGTCAAGTGTTGAAGTATTGAACAGTGATGGATTCAAGGAGAAGCCCAGTCAACAAGGATCCCCAACCTACTATTTTTTCAAAATTATAAAAAAAAAAAAAAATATTGAGAAAACAGACAAAATTGTATTCAACTTTTAATCTGCAAGTGTCATTTCCGGCCATCTAAAGGTGCCATAATCACATTTTTTTCTTACCGCAGCCACTACCGTTGTGGGGCTGAGGTGGGTGGTCACTCCCTTTGCGCAAGACCCTCCCTGGGTCCCCTCTATTTTGACTTCCTGAACCTGCGACAGTTGGCGTATCATTTCTGGGATACTGTAGAAGGGTAATTTTCATCCATCGAGAGAAAATTGTTCAATTTTATTTATCTTTGAAATGGATATATAAAGAAAATTATCCCAAAATGTTCTGGCCTCAGCCCCCAACCATGGTGGGGCTGAGGTGGACATACCTTATCTGTGAAAGTTCCCCCTCAGACCTTGAACCCTCTATTTGGAATTCCTAGATCCGTCACTGGAAATTACAACAATTATTTATATTACAGTAGTTTGATGCCTATAAAATAACCAAAAAAATTCACCCAAGCTTTGTCAAATATTCGTAGCTTCCAGGGGGATTTCACCCTGATCCCAACCAGGGGCCCATGACCTCCCCCAGTCCCCCAGCCTAGATGCTCACTTCGCTCGCATAGTGGACCTTATTAAATGCCCCCCCCCCCAACTTTCAAAAATGTTCTGCCACCATTAGGGGGGGGGGGGGGGGTAAGGGAAGCTCTTCAATATGGAGGACCTTTCACCCTACTTCCGCTGGCGCCATCCCTCAGGAGCAGGTGGAATAACAAATATCGGAATCGCTATTCCACGGTTAATTTCAGAAGAAACAAATAAGCCGAATGAACAAACAATGAAACTGCAACTGCAGAACATCATCATAATCATCATCGTCGTCATCACCCATCATCGTCATTATCGTTGTCATTAATTGCATATAGCACTCTACAATAAAATAATATGTTAGACTTAGGCCTGTATAGAGGTTTAGTTTATAAATCCGACGTTGAATTAAGCACAAAATTATGTAATACGTACACAGCTCCTTAGAGAGAATTCCATAACGGTTTTTAATATATCTTTTAAATTTTGCCCGTTCTACAGTTGTAAAGGCTTACTGATTTAAAAATATTTAACTTCAGATGTTTTATCTTTAAGCAAAATTTTATAGGCCTATTGCAAGCCATTGGTGTACCGGTCTTGTGCTTTTTTTTTGTACTTCTTTTTTTTTTTGTACTTGTTCTTTGCTGTTTTTCTGTTTTTGTAAATGTTGATATTTTGAGACAAATGAATGAAATAAGCGGAATCAGCGTGTTTACTGTTTAAACCTACCATACACCCACTTTCACTCCTGGGTGAAGAGAGACAATACCTGGTCTACGAACACAGGCGAAATGCACAGTACCGTACCTCAAATGCCGCGCCAAATCGCACATTATGGTTGAAGTGACGTGCGTTATATCGTCCCTTCCAGGTGCAGCCTGTTCTAGTAGCACAAGTTTGACAATTGGAATGTTATTTGTGGGCATCATTGTTGGAGCTTTCGGAGTAATTGGTGGATTGATCGGCTACACTAGGATTAAACAGGTTTGTCAGATACCAAAACAAATTTCAGTAGTATGATTTTAACACAATAGGCCTAATACATCACTCCTTCCCATTTATGTTCAATCAAATGGTCAATATTAAAATAAGCAAGCTTGTACAAATTTGTAATGTAAATTCAGCCTAATGACTGCAAAGTGACATAATACGTAAATTCGTATTAATGATTATTTTTATTTCAATTCAGAAAGCACAAATAGACAAGAGAAGTACGGATAAGAAAAAGCAAGATGTAAGCTTTTAATACTCCAATTCACCTCATCTTTGTCACCTATCATATTTGTGCCACATACACAACGCCATGGTTTCTGTAAATAGACCTATTATGTTGTCAAATGATTCAGGTGGATATGTAGTCATGTTTCTGTGACCTACCCCAGACTGTAGGTCCTCCTTCCCGCAATCAGTAACATGCTATCGTGCCTGTTTGTAGGACAAAATTTGCTCTACCACTGAAACGGTATAGACCTAAATGCAGTTATATTCTATCGATTGTTAAAATGTATTATAACTTGTAAAATGTATTGTTTTATACAGAGTGATAATAGACTAATGAAAATATTATCTCAAGCTTTGCGATTTTTAAAACAGATGATAATATATTGCACATAATTATGTTTTGATTTTAAAGGAGTTTCTAAACCTCAGCATTGTATTCATTTTTTATTATCAAGTATTTTACAAACAAATAACGAATGACCTAAATTGCATTGATAACGTTTCATATCTCGACACCCACAGACGTATATGGACTACATGACAGATAGGTCAATTGCTGGCAATGAGAACCAGACTTACCAAGATCTACAACATAGAGACGAAGAAACAGCTTATGTTAATGTGAAGCCGGGAAAGAGATAAGAAAGTAAAGAGAACAGCTGGTTTGAGTGAATGCTTGTTGCTTGTACAAGGATCATGATAATCCCATCAAATTTAATCAATGATGATCGTACAACCACGAACCTCTCCAAGAATTTTTAGCTCTGTCCTGGTTATCAATTAAAAAAAAAAGAAGTAGTATGTCCATATTATAGTCATGATGTGCCTATATGGTAATGATGTGATGTCATCAGACCATATTTAGGCATGTCGCATATGTTTTTCAAAATAGAATTTGTTAGTCTGGACAGGGCTTAAGTCCACGTATCACATCCAATATGATACGTCACTCACTGGATTCATATATTTAAAAAGTTGGTAAATGGCACCATGAGTGTCGATAGCATGTTAGTCTGTAGTGTTTCAACAATACAGTATTAAACAATATGCTTAGAAAATGTAGCATATGAATAAGTTTACAAACCACAGGTAAAGTTAGACAGCGCTTTAATATACTTTTTAACAACAACCTTCCGTTTATAATTTTAACTTGGTGTCTCTAGACAAACGTTTAAATGTAATGAATCTCATACATCGAACTTCGACATTTATATAACGGTACCTAAATACAGTAGATCACATTGAGAATAACCTCACTCCCTAAAAAAAATAGGGGCCTACACTGTCAAAAATCTACAAAAAAAAAGTATATAAATATATATAAATACATGCTCGAATGTTATATAATACTATACTAAGAAGATCATTTAGGCTTATAGTGGTAAGTCAAGTATACAGGATTGCAAGCGTGAAATATGGTGTAAGCTTCTATGTCGATTCGAATCTGAATAAATACCTCAATAACACTGATAGGTTAACAAATACCTGGTATATAATACACTGTGTTATCCTGAATAATCATATTTAGTATTTTTGTAAAGGATTATGGCGAAATATTACTGCTAAATAAAATATCACCGTACTATTTTATTAATGTTTAATTTTATTATTTCTGAGTCAATTATTAATTTTCTAATTTAAAAAAAACAAGCAAGGTAGGCCTATGCCCTTTTACTTGCATTTTATTCCCCTCCCCCCCTTCCACCCATCATGAAACAAGAACACAGCAACGAAATCGGGAATAACCATTATCCTATCGGATACCACCACATTTGCCGATCGAGCTAGTGCTAAAAAAGGAAAAAAACCTCCAATCTAGAGATTTCATATTTTTATTGTATATTTTTAATATTTTGATTTTTTAAGAGTTCACGTTTTGAAAAATTAAATTAAGTTTTTGGTAATAAAATATTAATGACCTTTTTTAAAATTTTATCCCACTATCCCCAGGCTGCCGTCATCAAGGCATTCAAATGATCCCTCTTTGTACATTTATGAACTTTTACCAATGTTAATCTGTAATTTAAGTACCGGTACAAAATAAATACATAAATAAATAAATACACTCTGATCAGCTTAAAGGGGTGCATAGAAGAGCAAATAGTCATGCTCTCAAACAACATCGGGGCCAGGTTAGTTTTGAGGAGAAATTAAGATCATTGTCTTTTTCACCGTTATCAAGAAGGGATAAATGTCTTGTTATTTTTTTATTTTAATGTATTGGTGGGCATCAAATACTTGGCACACTGATTTTACATCATAAATCAAGGACTAATATTGGCGACTAGACATCTACAACAATTTTAATATGTACATTATGGCTCTGAACACAGATTCATTTGCATGTTTTAAAGAGTGTGGATCTCAACAAAAAACTTTCATTTGCTTCTCTAAAGCAAAATCATCAATCGAAATCATACGGAAATAAGTTAACTGTAACAGCGTATAGTGTACTTCATTGTTTGACAAATACAATGATACACAGAAAAGTCAATGTACCCTTCAATATTTGAAGTGTATGCCTGTCTCTTATACACATCTTACCTCAAATGCCGCGCCAAATCG